ACTTGGAGAATTTCACAAGCTCTTTTTGCAGATTCACATGATGCTATCAGTTTAAACTGATTATCATCCACACCACTAAAGATTGCGTTTAGGGCTCTTGCGTTGTAGTTTGCGAATAATATCTCTCCATCACTCCAATCTGCTTCTGGTTTGATCACTTCCACTTTGTCTTCTCCTTTGATCATTGGAGGTGTCCAACCAATTATGATGGCACGCCATGCTCTCTCATCTATGGATTTGATTAACATCTTCATTTTTTATTTCCAGTATGAGTTGTTGGAGCAGATTAGAAGAGGTGGACGAGTAGTTGAAGCTCCTTCTCGTTGAGTGTTTATATCTGCACAAAAATAAGAGTAATTAGTTCCCAAAATCTCACTAGGTGTATTTAGTGACAGGCTCTTGATGTCAATTGTTATAATTATTTCGTGCAAATTAAGTATATATTTGTGTCGGATGAATCCCGGATTAAGTTTTAGATACTGTTTTACTGTTTTACGGAGAGTTGCAACAGTTAATGAAACAGTAATAAAAAAGACACAAATTTTAAAGTGGTTCGGATACAATTGTACCCTACATCCACGGGGACCTACAAATGAAATTTACTAATTTTTAGTTTTACGGGTACAATAATAGGACTTAATCAAAATACAAAGACTCCCTCTTTGTCGACGCCGTTCTTGTATACTACGCTGAATTATAAATCTTCACTTTGCAGCACGTCCCTTCCTCCACACGGTCGAAATCCCTTCAACGCTGAATCCCTCAGTCGGCGGATATACCTCCTCCCGAGATCTTCTAAGCTCTCCTCCCAAAGAACCGATCTTCTTTTCACATGAAAGAAGCAAACCTTTGAATATATTTCTCTTCTCGAAAAAGATCAAATATCAGGAGCAGCAACGTAAAAAGAGTAGAAAAATATTTTTCTCTCTCACTAAAAGGACAACGTTACAACACGCTGGTGCTCTTATATTTATATTCCCTTGGTTGAATAGACTAGCCCGACAAAAGATTATAGCCCATTAAGTTAGTTTCAATCTTACTTAAGGAAAAGGAATTGTGTGATAAGGAAAGTCTTTGTCAAGGAAATTCCTTGTTAACAAATGACTCACACTATTAAATAAATTAATGACAAAATAAGAGTTTAAAGCATTAAGGAAACTTCTCTAGCTTTAGACACACGTTTTTCACACGTGTTGAAAAATAAAGTCAGAATCCTCTCGGATTATAACACAGTTTGTTTCGTTGCTTAAAAGTGGATTCATCCGGAACAGACGCCCGGTGATTCTGGCTATCGATTCAGCCAAGTCGTCGTGAATATGCCTCCATTCGACCATCGATGGAGATGCAAGGGAAAAAAGTTTCACTCATTTGTTGCACCCGTATTTGCTGGGTTTGCGAAGGAGAGACCGTGTCAGCCGTTGATCACGTAGCGCCGACACCTGGCACTTTGTATGTGGCGGAACTATCCACCATCGCAGTTGACGAAAAACAGGAGCAAATTGATAAGATTAACTCAGTCATCCACTATATACAGTTTGGTGGTCTAATAAAGCACGAAATCCTTAAGAACAGGTTCCTATGATTTTCTCGGTACTTTTCCATTTTCTTATAATTATAATTATATTTTATGTTATAACCAATGTTTTGAAACTTGAACCGGACGAGCTGGTTCGACCAGTTCAACCGTGAGCCAGTGCTTTGTCCAGTTCGATTAGCCCTATAAACCTATGAATTACAAAAAAATGGCCTAATTGTTAAAAACCGGTTTTTTGACTGGTCGGACCATAAACTCGAAAACCGGCTCAAAATTAGTTTTTTTGGTTGAACCCATGCCTTTTTAATTAATTAAAAAAAAAAAGGTCAAAACGGCGTCGTTTTAATGCACAAAGAAAAAAGGAAAACTCCAAAAAAGGGAAGTTGAAACATGTATTTATTTTTTCCTGTTCACAAGAATTCTATTGTGATTTGATTTATGCCCTAATTCGACAACAACAAAAGTCGTTTTCTTTAAAAAAAAAAAAACAGAGAGAATGGCATTGTTTATCGATGATTGTTCTTGCTTTAATTTTGAAGTGTTGAGGTTTTTCTTATTATCGATAGGGATCAAAAGGTTTCATTGTTTACGTTTTTTATTTTCAATGCGTTCACTTTTGGGCGATTTTACTTGACCTTCTTTTTCTCTCATTTCAATCGTCTCTTTGAATGATTTCAAACTAGAAAAAAAAATTTATTTGGTAAAATATTAAAAATTCAAATTATGATTCACAAATCGGGAAAAATAACTAACTATTACATAATCAAAACGTGAACTACATTATCTGGGTTCAACCAACAAAAAAATTTCAACAAAAGTATGTTGCCAACACCCAAGAATTAATAAAAAGATACAAAGGAGAATCACATGTGATTACATGTGATTTCAAGTTATAACTAAAAAGGATTATAAAACCAACTTGGACATTTAAGACACCAAGATAAAGCTTTAGCCATTATGTTATTTATGGTCAATACATTTATTGCTTCTTTACTTAAATAAAATAAGGAAAATTGAAAACAAATACATATTTAAACGATACACATTGTTAGTGATTAAATCATCCCCAAACAAAAATCATCATAAATATGAAAGCACTTCAATTTATTACTTCGTTCTTGATAATTTCTTTCATATTACTATCATCTTCAATAAACAATATCACTTTCACATATGCAATGGAACCAAACAAAGTTGTGGCGAAGGAATTCCTTAGCAACATTTGCTCAAAATCATTAGATCCATCCTTGTGTATGGATGTCTTAAATCACCTAATTGGACATCCTCTTACCAAGACAACATTTTTAACCCTAGCTGTAAAACCGATGACTTTGGCCGAGTCTCGTGCGAAAGAAACACGGCAAATGATTGATAATACGTATCGGGGTCTAGTTACCCTTAGTCGTGAATTACGAGATAGATATCTCAAGTGTATATCGATATATAACGATGTTATAAATTATTTTCAGAATGCAAAACGAGAAATGAAGAAAGGTAGCAACAAGAATAAAGTCAAAAGCTACGTCTCAAGCGCCATTAAAAGGATCAATTCTTGTGACCAAAGATTTGTTAAACCACCACCACTACCAATAAACATTAGAAATGCCAATAAAAGGTTTATAGATCTTTGTAGTATTATTATGGCTATATGATAGAAACTAATTGTGATTTGAATGTCTTCGAAATAAGGCTCTTTTCTTTTTTATTATTATTAAATACTTATTCAACTCGTCTCTTTTATTATTTAGTTTTCCTTTTTTGGGACTTCTCAAACTCATCATCCAGATCACATTAACTATCCCGACTCGAACTCTCAGGTGAACTATTCTTGCCAAAAATCCGACCTCGGTGTTTTACCAAACGATATTGATACTGAACTCTTCGGGATTGAGAAAATAGACTAACTAATGGACGCATGGTGGGGTTACAAGACTTTTGCAGTATCTTCGCACCAATAAAGTTTATCATAATATTTTATGTGCTTGAACTCATTATTTATTTCATCAAATATCCTATATGGACAAAATATGCGCTTTTGAGTTTTACGATACAGAAGGAGTATTGAAGAACAATTGTCCACTTTATTTTCAAACTCGATGTTAATTAGTTACTTGTGCACATGAATATTCACTCAAATTATTTAATATATTTCATTCAAATGCCTCTCTATTCACTTAGAGAGCAAACTAACCATGATGTATTTATCAATCAACTCTTTATTGGCACATAATGGTTCGATTCTAAATAATCTTGGTAGCTACCTTAGAACCGTCAATGATTTTCTTATTTAAATATATATCTCATATGTGCCACCATAACTCACAAAAAATCTCAAATCTTAAAAATGAATATTTATGTTGAGGCTTTACCAACATCATCTTCAAGACGAATCATTTAATATAATGAGATAAGACACAATGAGAATACAATGTTACTAGAGCTAGTAGACTTTATTTAAACAATATTCACCCACTTATAGAGTTTTTAATCGTTCGAACCAACATATATATATCCGCCTCTTATATGTATAGTGTATAATGGTTAGTTGTGTACCATTATCATTTTCATTGCTCTAGGGTATTAACGATGAAATCATGACGTTCAATGTGTGGACATTTGCTATAACTGATTTGCAACACAATATATATTCATGAAGCCATTTTTGTCTATAAATGCATCCGGCATTTTTACTTATTAAAATTGTTGTAATGGATTATTTTTCCTTCTTGTTCTTAATATTTTTATGCACAAACCAAGACGAGACAAAAATTAAATGAGGATCATGAACACGATGGACTAGACTTTGATATATTGAAGTGGTAGAAAGTAGAAGTTTATAGGTTTCCAATTCTCTCTAAGATGGATCGTGATATTCTTGCAATTCCAGTCTCTATCGTTGCTGCAGAGTCTGCATTTAGCACAGGATGATGAATTCTTGATGCTTTTAGGAGCTTTTTATCTCCTAGAATAGCTGAAACCCTTTTTTAAGTTCAGGATTGGTTGCGATCGGATTCAAAGTCTGTATCCATGGAAGAGGACTTACACTAGATAAACTTGATAAATGTTATATATATTTCTAATGTAATTTTCATGCACATTTTTTCAATGATATTATGGTACTTATACTTATGGTTTTGTTTATTTTATGGGATAATTAGCTAGAACCCCCTCATCAAGGAAAATGAGTTAAGGAAACACCCCCTCCCAAAAATAATTAGAGAAAACCCCCTTAGCTAATATCCTACCCAAATATTATTTTAATAATTCCTAAACCACCCTTATTAATATTAAATCTCTTCAAAACCCTAACCCATTTATATTTGCCGTTCTCTCCTCTCGTCTTCTCTCTTCTTCGTCTTCTCGTCTTCTCTCTTCTCCATTCTCTCTTCTCTTCTCGACTGAAATTCGAAAGAAAAGCAAGACGTCGACTGGTGGTGGTGGTGATGGTGGTGGTGGAGAGTGTTTGTCACCGCCTCCCGCCGCTATGGATCTGTAGTTCACGGCGGTGGTTTCCACAATATTTATCCGCAATATTCAAAACGAATACCATCGATTCGCATAGCGTGGGATTACTAGGATTGGGATTCGCTTGTAGGGTTTGGAGAGCTTCCGGAGGAACATTGTGGTGGCCGAGCTGTGTGAGGCCCACGTTCTTGTTCATGCGGCGGCCGGCACCCACAGGAATGTTCCGCATGGTTCCGCCAGCTGTCCAGTACCGCTGGCAGTTCTTACAGAAGTGACGAGGCTGGTTCACGTTATAGTTGTTGAAGTAGCAGAATTTTGTCTCCACGCTGTTGCAGCGAGGGCAAGGGAGTATTTTGTCAGGTTTCTTGAGGGCTTTTTCGTCTGAGTTTTCTGTCTCGCTCTGGTCTTGTTCGGTTTGATGTTTCTCCTTTACATCATCTTGTTTTGGACCGGACTGAATCTGCAATAATTTTAATCATTTTGTATTTTTTTGTATGAATTATTTAATTTATTTATTTTATTCTTGTTAGCTGGATTGATTGAATAGTGTATTGTGGCAGCGGTGTGGTGACGATGGGGAGACCGATTTAGGGTTTTTTGGTGGATTGGGCGGATAACGACGCGTGTAGAGAATTTCACGCAGGCTGAAACCTTAATCGACTATGTACATATTCATAGTCGATTAAGCTAATCGACTATGTTCTGGTAGTCGATTAATGTTGATCGACTCCAATTTTTTTTTCTTTTCTTTTCTTGGATTTTTCGTTTATTGATTCCAATTGTATAAATCAATTATAATGTTTGTATATTTTTTGTTTTTGTAATACATAGTTGATTTTACATTTTCTCGCAGTTGTGATTTGATCGACTATGCTTCATCATAGTCAATTAATAAACCTGATATAAAAAAATAAATTAAAGAACAAAAAAAATTTTAAAAATAAAGAATTTCCTTAATCGACTATGAAGCATAGTTGATTTAAGACTAATCGACTATGTTTCATAGTCGATTAAAAAAACGGAAAAAATAAAAAAAAATCGCAAAGCGCGTGACCTAGTGATGAGGTGGCGGGCGGGGGTAAAGCTGGATAACATAATGACTGAAAACGGGTGTGGACTTTTCTCAAATGGACTAAAATATTTTGGGCCTACCTCTATTAAAAAAAATAGTGAGGGGATTTTCTCAAATAGCCCCATATTTTATGGAGTTGGTACTCGTAGATAATTCGTCCATTCTTGATTCATTAAATTTCGGCTTCAAGTTTTAGGGATGTAGTTTCATGTATGTAACGGTATCTACATTGATTATATATATTAATATTTAGAATGGTGAAAATTACAATCTCAATATTTAATTTTAGGGGCTTAAGATATAGGTCCCTAGTGACAAAACTAATTATAACTAAATGACAAATCAAACTAAACTTTTGCTTCACATCCTTTATTAAATTTATTCTAAAAATGCCATTTCACTCACAAATTTAAAATTTGCATTTAGTAAAATTCAAACTGCATTTATCATTTTTTATTATGCATTTAATATCTTATTTTTTCATCTAACATATTTTATTTTATTTTTATAGATTTTGTCGTCTTTATTTTTTTCCTTTTCACTCTAGCATTTTTTTACATTATTATAAACAACTTAATTTTTTTATTTATTTTTTACATTTTACAGAAAATTACAATTTTTTTTCTCGTTTTTGTTAAATAAAACAGCAGTTTTTAAAATACTATGATATACTATGGTATATTATGGTATACTATAGTGTACTATGGTATACTATAATTTACTAATATTGAAAATTATGAATGTTTAAAAAAAAAAAAATCGGTCGTAGTCGACCATAGACACCGATAGGAACCATAGTAATCCGTAGTCACATACTCTGAAAACCCTAGCTCACATTTTGAACCATAGCCGCTACCCATTCGTAGACACTCATAGTAATTCAGAGAAACCCGTAGTTATTCGCACTCATCCAATATGAAACCCTAGATCCGCCACCACCACCACCACCTCCCCCTCCATCCTCATCCTCCATCTTAATTAACCTTCTCCTTCTCCAAACACAACATCAAATTCTAACAAAAAAAAATTACCGTCGTCATCTAAGACAACTACCACCGACGCCATCGACCAAAACCGTCGCCGCCCCCAACGACCAAAACCACTATCGCTCGCCCACCCCCAGCGACCAAAACCACCGCCGCCCCCTGCGACCAAAACCACCGCCGCCAGCCGTCCCCAGCGACTAAATCCGCCGCCGCACCTAGGGACCAAAACCACCGCAACCCCGAGCGACCAAAACCACCGCCGCACTTAGGGGCCAAAACCGCCGCCGCTCCTAGCGACCACAACCACCGCAGCCCCCAGCGACCAAAACCCCGCCGCCCACCGCCTGTCGCCCTCACAGCAAGATCCGATCTGAAGAAAAATCCTACAACTAATATCTCCAAATCAGCATCACTATCTAAAATAGAGAAAGAGAGAGGTAGAGAGAAGAATAGATGAAGGGCTGGGGCCAATGAAAAAAGAAGAAAAAAGACCATGATGGGGTGATGAGAAATTGGAAAAAAAAAAAGAGAAAACGCGAGTGGACGGCGGATGGAAGAGGAAGAGAAAATGGGAAATAAAGAAATAACAAGAGAGAAAAGAAGCGTTCATTTTATTAGGTATAATAATGGTATTTTTGGGTTAAATAAAAATAAAAGGATGTTGGTCAAATTTTATTTTAAATTAAGAATTTAATTAAAATGTTCTATTTTGAATGTCCATCACATCTAATTAAGTTTGATTTGAGGGGTGTCTCAAATATTAACCCTTAATTTTATGCCTACAACTATGTTGGTAGTAGCAGTTAGGGCTTCAACGTGGCATCTACGATTTACATGTTTTTTTTCTTTAATTTAATTCAGAGTTAAGAGACTCGGAGTTATTTCTTATTAGTTAATATTTTGTAATTGCATTGTTAGATTTTAGCATTTTGCTATGGTTTTTATGACTTTTGGGAGTTAGTTCGAGACTTCTTTAATTTGTGATGAATGTTATGAGTTATGACTGTTACGAGTTCTTTTTTATTTTGGGATGAATTTAACAAGATTTAAAAAAAAATTATGTTTGGGATATTATTTTCTATTTTTAGGAATGGAAAAAAGATTGCTCTATTTTCGCAACGATCACTTTTTGTTAAAGGTATTCTTTTTAGATTTGGGCGGTGAAATGAGGATTGGAAACGTAATTGAAGGTAAATAAAAACCCGGGGACTAGTTTGAAGTTGAGTGTGAACCTGAGGGACAAAAATGAATTCTACCGTATTAGATTATCATATATAATTTAGTACATTAAGACCCCGTTTGGTTGACAAGATAAGATTAGTCAAGATAAAATTAAATAATCTAATTAGATTCAATTATTTTATTGGAACTTGAAACATCAAAAACAAAAAACTCATTACAAGGCAAGATAAACCAAGATAAGACAAAATAAACCATGATTATATAATTTTGGCGGGTCGACCCGGCAATTTATTGAGGATGCCGAACATCAAATTAAGTTCAACTATTTAGTTAATCATGGTTTATCTTGACAACCAAACGGGGCCTAAGTGCTAGTTTCTTGTAATGTAGTTAGCTAAAGATGCTTAATACTATTTTGTTCAATTCAATTAATTAATTCAATTTTGTTTTATTATATTAATGTTTAATTCTATTTTAAATGTTTGGATCTTTCCAATTTCAATTTATAGTATTTTAGACTATTTTCCATAGAATTTTTGGTAACCCTCATGAATACTATGATTTAAACATTACTATGACAACCAAAATCTATATAATATATAAAAGTTGAATTTCACACCTAATTGATTGACATTTGTCAATTTCAATTGGTGACATGTATTTAATTTCATCTCATGTGGCAAATTGATTGGTGAAAATAAATCATCAAAAAACATGTCACCATTTTCCAAAATTAAAAAGATATTTAATTATTTAATTATATATTTATATTATACCATTTATAAAATGCTCTAAATATATCAACTTTCTTGGAAACTCTAAATAGTTTTATTTTTTAATTTCGTTTTAATAGTAATTAATTTAATTTAAATTTATTTAAATTTAATTTAAAATCTTAACTTATTATAATTGTATGATTGATGGTGTTACGAAAAATTTGTATTTTAATCATAAACTTGGATTTATATAAAAAAACATATTGCAGAATAAACCATTTAATATTATACATCTTACATGAACATGACCAGAGAATATGTTTATCATTTTTACTAATTTAATATTATATTTGTAATTACCAAAATTTCGCTGATGTTTGTTTTAGTCTTACATCGACCCCCTTACGGTATGATTTTTCACGGAATTTTTTTTTATTACGTGGAATATTCCCTGAAAAATGCAGATTCTACCTTCCACACGACATTTGTTTATGGTACTTTTTAAAGACAAAAATTACCCTGAGGGGGACTTTACACGATATATTTATTCTTTTAAATAACATCTTCACAACTTTTTTAGTATTACTATTACCTCCCCTAAGGGTAATTTTTGTATTTAAAAAGTAAGATAAAAGAAATGCCATGTCTGCAAGGGTAGGATCCACAATTTTTGGGATATTATATGGAATAAAAAAGATTCCGTAAAAAATCACACCATAAGGGGATCGTGTAAGACATACACAAACATTTGGGGGATTTTGCTAATTCTCGATAAGTGGGGGTGATTTCCGTAATTTAGCCTAAGTTCATGAGGATTTTCGTAATTTATCCTATTAACAACGATTATCGTTATTTTCACGTCTTAATGTTTGCTTATACCCTTATATTATTTTAAATAATTTTAATGTCAGTTTGATAATATAATTAAATATTAATTTCTAATATATTTAATATGTGTTTCTTGATGTTTCAGGTACCACACATAAGGAATTTGATATAAAAAGTTGCCAGATTGAATTTTTTTTTTTGATACAAAATAATAGATAATTGCAAAATCATAATTAGGATTGTGATTAGCATTAGAATTAGAATTAGGATTGTAATTAATATTCTTTGAATTAGTATTAGTATTAATACTAGGATTATGATTTGGATTAGTATAGTATTATAATTAATATTGTGATTATGATTATGATTAATATTAGTATTAGAATTATAATTAAGATTATGATTATTGATTCGTACTACAATTAGTGACATATATTAGTATTATAATTATGATTAGCATTAGCATTAGGATTATGTTTAGAATTAATTATAATTAACATTAACATAGCATTAGTATTATTAGTAGTAAAATTATTAGGATTATAATTAATGATAGAAATAGGTTTATGATTAGGATTAGAATCATGATTAGTGTTATGAATAGGATTAGGAATAGGATAAGGATTTGGAAAATATTATTATTACAATTATAATCAGCATAAGCATATACCAGATTAACATTAACATTAAAATTAGTATTAGCATTAGAATATGAACACTAGCATTAACATTAACAATATTAATATATTAGTATTAGAAATAGTATTAATATTAGTATTAGTATTAATATTAATATTAGGATTAGTAATAGTATTAGCAATATTATTAGTATTAATATTAGTATTAATATTAGTGTTAATATTAGTTTTAGTATTAGTATTAATATTAGTATTAACATTAATATTAATATTAGTCTAAATATCAGTATCAGTATCAACATCAGTATTAGTATCATTATCGGTATCGGCATTAGTACCGGCATCAGTATCGGTATCTGCATCGGTATCGGTATCAGTATCAGTATCAATATCAGTATCATTATCAGTATCATTATCATTATCAGTTTCAGTTTCAGTATTCGTATCCGTATCAGTATCAGTATTAGTATCAGTATCAGTATCAACATTTGTATCAATATCAATATCAGTATGAATATCAATATCAGTATCAGTATCAATATCAATATCAATATCAGTATCGATATTAGTATCACTATCAGTATCAGTATTAATATCAGTATTAGTATCAGTATCAATATCAATATTAGTATTAGTATTAATATTAGTATTAGTATTAATATTAATATTGCTATGAGTATCTGTATTAGTGTCAATATCAGTATCACTATTAATATTAGTATTAATATAATATTATTATGAGTATAAGTATGAGTATAAGTATTAGTATCAAATCAAAATTATTATTGTTATTGGAATCAGCATTAGTCTTAGTATTACTATTAATATTACTATTAGTATTAATATTAATATCAATATCACTATTAGTATAATTATTAGCATTAGTATTATTATTAGTATCAGTATTAGTATTAATATTTGTATTAGTATCAGTATTAGTATCGATATTACTATCGATATTAGTATTAGTATTAGTATTAGTATTAGTATTATTGTTAGTATTAGTATTAATACCAATATTAGTATTAATATCACTATTAGTATTAACATTAGTATTAATATTAGTATTAGTATCAATATCACTATAATTATCAATGTAAGTATCAATATTATTATTAGTATTGGTATCAACATTAGTCTTATTCTTAGTATTAGTATTGGTTTTATTATTAGTATTAGTATTAGCATTGGTACGAGTATGAGTATTAGTATTAGTATAAGTATTATTATTAGTATCAGTAGTAGTATTAATATTTGTATTAGTATCAGTATTAGTATTAGTATTAGTATTAATATTAGTATTAGTATTAGTATTATTAGTATTAGTATTAGTATTAGTATTAGTATTAGTATTAGTACAAATATTAGTATTAGTATCACTATTAGTATTAACATTAGTATTAGTATTAGTATTAGTATTAGTATCAGTATTAGTATTAGTATTAGTATTTGTATTAATATGAGTATCAGCATTAATCGAATTAGTATCACTATTGGTAACAATATTGGTATCAGTATTGGTATCGGTATTGGTATCAACATTGGTATCAGTAGTGGTACTGGGTATACATCATATCTCTTTTGCAATATTTATAAGTTTTTATTGTTGTTTAAGTAATGTTCATCACTAATTGAACGCCATTAGTGACAAACTTACAGGTTATTTGAATATTTATTGTGTTATTTCTTTGCTACCGTATTTGTTGTTACCTTAGTTATTTTGCAGAAGATTCACATGGTGTAGTAGATTGCAATCCAAGAAATAGAGTTATACCATATGTTTTAAATGATTTCACTTAATCTTGATATCGTGTTTTGCGCACTTCATGTTTTCTTATTTGTAATCTTTAACTTAATTTCATATGTTACAACTCTAAATTAAGAGACAAAGTTTATGTTTTTTATTTCCTTCCATTTTGTTTTACTTGAATTGGTATTTTTATAAAGAGATAGTCGTTCACATAAGTTTATTTTTCTCATTTGAAATTCACCTACGTGCAACGCACGGGTGAAATACTAGTTGGTATAAAATTGGCAAGTCAAAACAATCAACTAAAAATTGTATAAGTATAATTCACTAAATTCACAACAATATGTTAAATATTTATTGGTATAATGTGATTTTATTGGGATGAACAGTTCGGATTGGGAATTGTATTATACCCTAGATGCTTTTATCTGAATTTTGTCATCCCTTCCTATTGTTCCTTCCAAATTCTAATGCAAATATTTAATTACGTTAGAGGTCAAAATTGACGAATTCATGAAATTGGATTGAACTATAGCTTAAATTACGAAATTTTGGTTAAATTAGGGTTTCAATAGGGATGGGTAATTTTGGCATATATAATATTTTTTTCTTAATTGCAATAAGTGTGAAGGAATCGATTTATTTGCAAAATAGAAAAGTATATATATATGATGTCATTTTTTTAATTAAGTGACCTTGTTATAAGCATATTTGTCATTATCTCTATTTATAAATAGTGTGAGGAAAATAAGATTTTTCTATTTGTAACCAATATTTTAAAAATTGGATCGAACATTGACCCGAACAAGTTATTAGATCATGGATGGACCGGTTCAACCAGGGTTTCAAGCGGGTTTTTTATTTTTTTTTTTATTTTATATTTACTTATGTATAACTTTTATAGTAAATAAAACATACTTTTCTATTACATAGACTAGCGGGAATATCTATGCTACACCTGGTGAATATAACCAGGCACCATAATTGATAAGATTCCCACTACGGGTTCAGTTATGGCCCATGGGTTTAGAAATATAATTATAAAATAATAAAAAGGACACGTGTCAGGAAAGAGCACCCGGTGAAATCACCGGGTGTAGCATCGTATTCCCCCTAGACTAGCATACAACCAGGGTTTCAAGCGATGCCCCAGGAATATATTTAAATAGTAAAAAGAAAAAAACCAATTTAATACATAATAAGAAAATATAGTACACTAATATAGTAAAATTTAATAATGTAATATTATTCATATTTTATATAACATTAGTTTTTTTAAATCTTACATATTAAGATTTATAATCCTAATAAATAGATTAAGATTTAACAAATCGAATTTCTAGCTTTATGTCTTAAGATTTGAGATATATTGATAAAAAATAAGAGAATAATAATTGTTGAAAATTATATTTAAAAAATTAGTACAGAAAAAATACTAAAAATAAATAATTACATAAGTAACAACAAGGTAGGATTCTTAAGGTAGGATTCGGCACGGGTTAGTGTTAATTTTGATAATTGTCAAAAATTATAGTTAGAAATTAGTAGAGAAAACATATAAAAATAAATAATTACAGAAATGCCATTAAGATTTTTAAGTTCGCCCAACGTTTCTTTC